AAAGCGCCTATGAAGTGGAGGTCTTCTCTACATCACAGGCCATGACGAGTCAGAACTGATGTCAAGATTCTTGATGATGGGTAGATTTCATGAAGGGAGATTTCGTTTCTCACAGTTGAGGAGGTTAGAAGTCCAAAGTCAAGGCCCTGGCTCTAGAAGGTTCTCCATTCTGGGGGAAAATTCTTATCTCAGTTCTCTCACATTTTTTCTGGTATTCATCAGCAATCTCCACATGGCATCTATCTTCTGTGTCTAATCTACTTTTAATCTCAAAACTGGTTGGCTTAATTTGAGGAGAGTGGGGGAAATGTTTTAAACTCAAGAATATTAAAAAGGCACGACTTAGAGAGTTGGTGGGGTGGGTAGTCCATAGGGAGTTTTGCTGCTAACCCCATACCCCAAAATCAGACCTTCTGGTGTGATAGAGATTAGTGGAACCCCTAAGACTCTTGCCCTTAGCCAACCTTCAAACCTGAAAAAACCTCACGCCTGTAGCTCAACAATAGACTAGCCTATAATGTGACCTGTAACACCAGGCAGACACTCACGCCTTAGAATAACCAACCATATAAAGTCAAAAGAGTAAAGCCCAGAGGCAGGGAGGGATAGCATAGAAAGAATAATGGAAGTGAGACTAACAGGGAGGAAGTGGGAAGAGTGCAGTCACATCACGGGTGTTGTAATTAATGTTATAAACAAAATGTGCATGAATGGTTAAATACAAAATCTTGCTTTGCAGAGTTTCTTGCAAATCACAATTTAAAAACGTGATTTTGTTTAAGATATGCTCAGTGGTAAGGAATTGCCCAGCCAAACCAAAGAGGCAGGCAGTTCAAATCCACCTGTTGTTCGTTCCATGGGAGAAAGACAAGCAATCTCTTCCCATGCGATATACAACCTCTGAAAATCTGCTGAAGGAATCAACTATGAGTTGATTCTCACTCAAAAGCAAGTAACAACAACTATAGTGAAGTGGATACATGAACAAAAATTTTTAAAAAAACAATTCCCAGATGTGATATTGGGGGGGGAATTGCACAGCAAATTAGGTTGTCATTGAACAATTTCTGTGTAATTTATCGAAAAAGAAGGATTGGTAGTTAGAAAATATGACATTGGTGATAGAAAGGAAAGTGGATGACCAGTGACTCATTGGTGGCAAATATTTTTTTTAAAAAACATAAATGTGGACTATACACGTGGAATTCACAGGGATCAAGACCATGGAGAAGCTCAATATCAGCAGTCAGAACAGGGATTGGGGCCAACTGTGGAACAGACCATCAGTTGCTCACGTATATATTCAAATTGGAGCTGAGAAAAATAATTGAAACAAGCCCACAGAATAAAAATATAGTATATTCCACCCCCATATAAAACCACCTCTAGAACAGACTTGAGGCACTGAACACTAATGGCCAGATGAATTGTGGGATGACGTCAGAGACATCATCCATGAAGAAAGCAAAAGGCCATTAAAAAGACAGGAAAGGGAGGGGGAAATAACCAAATGGACGTCAGAAGAGACTCTGTGACGTGCCCTTTCTCTAGAATGTAAAGAAGCTAAGGGAAAAGGAAACAATGATGGAGAGAGCTGGGTAGATTTCGAAGGACAGCTTGAGAACACAAAGCAAAGCGTCCTAATGAAACGTGTGAAAAAGACCTGGAGTTAGAAAACCGAAAGAAAGACCATTTTAGGCATTTCTCAGATTGAAAAAACAATTGAAGAAAAGATTCAAGCCTTGAGTTTTAAGACTCAAAGATTCTACAGGTAAAATATTCAATACAGGAAGTACCAAAAGAAGATGGAAAAATAATTAGAGTCACTGTATAAAAGAAAATTGGTTGAAGCTCAAACCATTACAGGAGGTGTATTGAAACTCAACATCAAGAAGTCAGTCTCATTACTGGGCCAATTGGCAGTACCATGATAGATGGAGAAGAGATTGAGGTTGTTAACAATTACAGCTTGCTCAGCTCCACAATCAAGACTCTTAATACCAACAGTCAGGAAATCAAAAGACGAATTTCAATGGGAAAATCTGCTGTCACAGACCTCTCCAGAGTAGTAATAAGCAATGATGTCAGTCTAGAGACTAAGGTGTACTATGCATCAGAGAGCTGGACAATGAGTAAGGATGACAGAAGAAGAATCAATACCTTTGAGTAGTAATGCTGGAGAAGAGATTTGAACAAAACATGGACTGCCAAGGAAACACATAGGTCTGTCTTAGGATGAAACAAAATTTATCCTTTAAGGCTAGGATTATGAAGGTCCATTTCACACACATTGGGCACATGGTTAGGAGGGACTGGTTTTCGGAGAAGGACATCATG